TCTTTTGCTCATTTGATGGAAAATTACTTCTTCCAATTTTCGGTTTTAAAAAGTTTCTAATTGTGAGATTTTTTAACACCGTGAAATGGCCCTTCATAAAATGTCATGTCTCTGCATTGACCAACGTGGCTTGTAAAGTTACCAATATTGCTCAAATCCACTTCTTAATTTTGTGAACCCCATATGATCTCCTCTTAATACGGTAGAGATATGTATGGTTTTCCATACGCGGAAATTGTACGGCTTGTAGATTTGGAACCCTGAATGCAAGTGTGACGGTAGGTCGGGTTTAAAATTATTCGGGAATAGGAAAAGTTTTATAAAACCAAATTATACCCTTCCTTCGAGCATAAAACTAAAAGAAGACGTAATTTTCTACGGAATAAGTAAAAGAATGAATACATTTATGTATGTTTTCCAAGAAATATAATTGAATTTTAAAGGGCATTGAAAATCAATGAGAAATGCATGCTACATACTTAGTCATTTTTTACTGAGCATGGTTTTTGGATGCAGTCAAAAAGGAATTCATTCGAAAGCCGGCGCCCTAAGGTAACTGAATTATTATAGAATTATGCTGCAGGATGATTAGTTTTACAATCCTACTTAATTAATCTTTTCGAAACGAAAACGCATATAAGAATTTCTGTTAAGATTTCATGAGATAGCCTACTTAATGTGGTTTATCGTGGGAGTAGACTTGCGCAAAACTTACCGCATTCTCTCCTTCCCCACCTGGACCCAGTGTCAAGACAAAGTCAAGAAGACCGCAGGCGGGAGAGGGTACAGGTGGGTGGCACGGTCAGACCCGCACCCAGACGTACCACCACACCCCCTGATCCAAAACAAACACATGACCAGGATTTTAACCAACAGAAACACCACGACAAATCAGAAAGAGGGTAATAACTAGGTAACCATCCCAGCGGGAGCGCAAGCGCATCTACCGGAAGGGAACCAGGCGTCAGGGAACTGTCGGCGCATACCAGGCTGCAAGAGGCGCAGTTTGCTGAGCAGACGCACACATGACGAATAATAACTGCACCCTACAAACGCCGCTATCCTAATGTCCACATTATCCCTCTCTGCCACTGTCGACTACAGTGAGTGGCCTATCTCATGAAATGTTGGCCAGAATTCTGAAATGCGTTTTCGATTAGGAGGGTGGGGTTGTGATGCTGATTATCCTACAGTATTTCGGATTCCGTAGGATGTCGGCTTTTGAATGCACTTCTTTTCAATCTCCTGTTGAAACCCTACTTGGTAAAAAATGACTGCTCAAGTAACATGCATTTTCCCATTGATTTTCGACCGTCTTGCATGTTAAAATATATTTCATGAAAAACATGAACAAAAGTATTCTTTCTTTTACTCGTTTGATAGAGGATCACGTGAAATTCATATTTTATACTCGAAGAAAGAGTATAATTAGGTTTCAAAAAGTTTCTAATTATGAGATTTCTTAAGACCGTGCAATGTCCATTCACACAGCATCGTACCTGTCCATTTATCCCTGCTCCTCATGATATGTACAACATAGTCCGCATCCATTGCAAAATGTTATGCAGTCAATATGGTATCTTTTTCAAGGCACAGAGGAATATATGATTTTCTTTACGTGAAACGCATGTGCCTTGTAGGCTGAAATCACTAGACGCTAGCGAAACGGCTGGTCAGGCTCCAAATTATTCGGAAATAGAAAGCTAGAACTATTTTGATCGGCTTTGTGAGGAAAAACAGTCGCACGCGATGCTTCTCAACGCGAATGCTGTTTGGGTCTCAGTCGAGGATGCTGTCAGACGTCGTAAACAATTTCGTCAAAAAGCTCGACGCATATTCTCTTTTCTTTATTCCCTTTCTTCAGAAGGCTAGAAGAGCCAGCTATTTTTTATATCTAGGCGAGGGTCAGAGATTATTTTTACCGGATCATAACTTAAGGTCGTTTGAGAGCTGTTGTGAATTGCCGGGCTTTAAAGTTCTCCTCCCCGAAAGCCCATGAGGAGACATAACCTTGGCTATTGTGCGTGTGCGTTTTTGCGCAACTATATTTCATAGCACGGGGGCTTCGAAATGATACAGAATATACAGCACCACTCAGGAAAAAGGCATTTTAACAGAAAATGCTGCCATAGTGGTGCTGCATTACTATGCAGACGAAATAAGATTTATTTTCATTTGTTTGCAGTGATATTCTAGCTCTTCACCCACCGATTTCACAACTACCGTTGGCAATCCAAGAGATGAAGAGGTGGAGGAAGTTTCTAGTTGAACTACAAATATATACAGTAGATGTGCTAAATCACGAAATGCAAACCGAAATTCTGAAATGCGATTTCGACTCGAAAAGATTACTTAAGTGAGGTTGTAATATTAATCCACATGCAACATAATCCCATGATAATTCAGTTACTTCGGGATGCCGACTATGGAATGAGCTTCTTTACGGCCCCTCCGAAATCTACGCCCTGTAAAAAATGACTACTTAAGTAGTATGAACTTTTCTAGTCGAAACTCGATGCCCTCATAAATCTAATTTTGCTTCAGAGAAAACGTACATAAAATGTTCATCCTTTCACTTGCTTAGTAGAAAACCCCGTTCTCTTCGAATGTTATACTTGAAGGAAGGGTATGATTCGGTTTTACAGAAGTTTCTAACTATGCGATTTTTTAAGACCGCGAGATGGGCGTTCATTAAACCTCGTGTCCCTGCATTTAGTAACGTCGATTGTGAAGTTTACAATATGGCTCAAATCCACTGCTAAATTTTATGGACCCAATATGGTCTACTCTTAATACTGAAGCGGAATGTATGGTTTTCCGTGCAGAGAAAATATACGTCTGGTCGTTTGGAAACCCCGGATGGAAGTGTAACGGCGGATTGGCTTTAAAATTAGACGAGGATTGGCAAAGTTTTGGAAAACCGAAATATTATTCCCCTCCTTCGAGTATAAAATTGCAGGAAGAGGTAATTTTTTTGCCAAACGAGTAGAAGAATGAATATTTTCATATGCGTTTTCTATGAGATATATTTGAATCCATAAGGACGTCGAACATCAATAAAAAACCATACTACATAAGTAGTCATTTTTTATAGAGTGTGCTTTTCGTAGGCAGCCGAAAGGAAGTTCGTTCAAAAGCCGGCATCCTGAAGTAGCGGCATTATTATGGGATTATGCTGCATAGTGATTGCTATCACAATCCTACACAAGTAATCTTTTCCAGTCGAAAACGCATTTCAGAATTTCGGCTAACCTTTCATGAGTTAGCACATATACTGTATGTGTAGATGAGGTGGTGCGGACAAGGACAAGGGTGACCAGAGTGGCCATTTCGGGTTTATTAACCGTCACAAGACAGTAATGTATGTGTAGAGGAAATGGCAGGTGGCGAGGCACTGATGAACTTCGGTTCGATGAAGTGCCAATGACCCATCTGGTAGACCCCAGTGGTGGACCAACTGCGTCAGGTGTGTCTGTGCGCATGTTTGTGTTTCTGGTCCCAGCTGCTGGTCAGGGTTATGATTGACTAAATGGAAGCAAAATAAGCCCAAAACACAACTGTATCAATATACCCGCATTCTCTATCGTCCCTGCTACCTGCTCTTATGACTTGGCCGACTTCGGTTTGATAATTGGTTGCCCGTTGGCGACCATTTCCATCCATACGGAGCTTGTTTACTTCAGGACGTCAACAGATCAGTTTGCGTCCATTCCCGATTATATATATATATATATATATATATATATAAGGACCCGATTCCCATCAACCAGAAATCGGGGGTCATTTACCGGATAGACTGCAGTTGTGGTCAAGCCAATTATGTTGGCGAAACCGGCAAACAAGTACGCACGAGATTGCACGAACACGAGTTGGCTGTGAGACGGAAGGACAAACTCTCCTTGGTAGCCGCCTTCGCCTCCACGCCAGGACACGGCTTCGACTTTAAGTGCGTGAGAATATTGGGCCAGTCAGACGACCGAGTGGCTCGCCTGCTGCAGGAAGCATGGCAGTCAACAGAGGACTCGATTAATCGACATATCGATCTGCCAATCGCCTATCAAGCACTACGAGAGCAAATCAGCAGCGCAGCTAGAGGTCACCCCCGGCAGAGGTGAGCTAAATACACGATGAGTTGTACAATTTTTCATTCCTTGACGATGGGCTCGCGTGAGAGTTCGAAACGTCGGATAAATAAACCATTGGTCCCAGCGATCGCCTTCCCATCTTCTTCTATTCAATTACCTGGGCCGCGCGTGTTCTCTATCATTCGGAATATATATATATATATATATATATATATGAATAATGGAGGTAGTATGCATTCCGAGGCGATATAATAAAAGGAGAAGGCTCGTCGGAAAATGGAGGTATACTCGTGAATTTTCAAGTCGGTTACACCAACCCGTCGTCAGACGAAAATGAAAAGTGTGAGGGAGATAATCCTTCTGGGGAGTCAGGGGGACATCGAGGTCACATCTACCAGACAGGCGTTTATGTGTGGGGGTGAAGAACGTGTTTGGATAGGTGGCGGACGTAAGGGGTGGTGTTGGGGGTTTCACACATGGTTCACTCTGTGGGGGAGGTGCTGAATCCATGATATTCTACATGGCCGAACATGGATTAGCAGTTGGTGGCTTAGGGTGGGCGCAAGCCGGCGAACCGTGAACGTAACCCTTCGTATTGAGCGTCCAAGTCGACATGGCGGTTGATGCTATTGCTATTAGAGTGCCAAGCTTCTAGAAACTCTCGCGCTTGTTTGGTGTTGGCACTAGCGATCACTTCGGTCCCCTCCCAGTTGAAGCGGTGATCACACTCAAGGGAATGCGCAAACACGAGAGACAAGGGGTCCCGTCGGCGGATGGCCAGCTTATGTTCGTTAATGCGGGTCCCAAGTCGTCGGCCGGTATGCCCAACATAAACGCTAGAGCAGTTTGAACATGGAATGCGGTAAATGACATTTGTTTGCTGCTCCTTCGGTATGGGGTCTTTTACCCGGGATAATGTCGTGCGCAAGTATTCTATCATTTGATGTTGTCGCATTGTTTTCCTCAATACCACATGACCTTGCCATTGAGAGCGTGGCCCATCGCTTACGAGACAATCCCATCGACCTTCCAACACATCACGTTCTAGAATTGCTTAAGCTCTGCCTCAATAACTATTGCCAATTCGATGGCAAATACTACCAGCAGGTTAAGGGCACCCCAATGGGTTCGCCAATTTCGGGGCTACTTGCAGAACTAGTCTTACAACGACTAGAACAAGATGTTGTCCAAAGTTTCCAACCAAAAACGTGGCTCAGATACGTAGATGACACATTTGTCATCGTTAAGACCTGTGAAGGTGAGCGATTTCACCAGAGCTTGAATGGCGCCTTCCCAGCACTACAATTCACTCGTGAAGATGCAAAAGGAGGCACCCTCCCATTCCTAGACGTGAGCATACAAAAGCTCAGTGACGGCGGCATCGCAACAAGCGTTCATCGGAAAATCTCTGACGCTGAGATCATCCTGAGCTATCAGAGTAACCACCCAGCAGCCCATAAAAGAAGCTGTGTTCGGACCCTTTTCCACAGGGCCTATCGTTACTGCAGTAGCGCCGATTTACTCAAAGATGAACTGGCCTACTTGCATCGCTTTTTCCGACTCAACGGATACCCGGAGAGCTTTGTGAAAAATTGTCTCAGACGTCAACAACAACCACAAAATGTCGACTCTAACGGAGACAGAGTATCACGGAAATTCTATTCCCTGCCCTACATGCCGAGAATTTCCGAAGCGATCGCTCGACAATTAAATCGATTCGGCATCTCCATCGCGCACAAACCGGCGTCTTCATTGCGCACGACATTATCCCGGGTAAAAGACCCCATACCGAAGGAGCAGCAAACAAATGTCATTTACCGCATTCCATGTTCAAACTGCTCTAGCGTTTATGTTGGGCATACCGGCCGACGACTTGGGACCCGCATTAACGAACATAAGCTGGCCATCCGCCGACGGGACCCCTTGTCTCTCGTGTTTGCGCATTCCCTTGAGTGTGATCACCGCTTCAACTGGGAGGAGACCGAAGTGATCGCTAGTGCCAACACCAAACAAGCGCGAGAGTTTCTAGAAGCTTGGCACTCTAATAGCAATAGCATCAACCGCCATGTCGACTTGGACGCTCAATACGAAGGGTTACGTTCACGGTTCGCCGGCTTGCGCCCACCCTAAGCCACCAACTGCTAATCCATGTTCGGCCATGTAGAATATCATGGATTCAGCACCTCCCCCACAGAGTGAACCATGTGTGAAACCCCCAACACCACCCCTTACGTCCGCCACCTATCCAAACACGTTCTTCACCCCCACACATAAACGCCTGTCTGGTAGATGTGACCTCGATGTCCCCCTGACTCCCCAGAAGGATTATCTCCCTCACACTTTTCATTTTCGTCTGACGACGGGTTGGTGTAACCGACTTGAAAATTCACGAGTATACCTCCATTTTCCGACGAGCCTTCTCCTTTTATATATATATATATATATATATATATATATCAGCGAGGAGGGACGACAGAGAATGCGGGTAGATTGATACAGCACTGTTTCGGGCTTATTCTGCCTTCATTCAGCCAATCATAACCCTGACCACCAGCAGCTGAGACCGGAAACACAAACATGCGCACAGACGCACCTGGCGCAGTCGGTCCACCACTGAGGCCTACCAGATGGGTCATAAGCACTTCATCGAACCGAAGTTCATCAGTGCCTCGCCACCTGTCATTCTCTGTCGCTGCAGATCGGGTATTTATCAATCAGGAATGGGCGCACACCGATCTATTGGCTTCACAAAGCAAACAAGCTCCGTATGTGTGGCAAAGGTCACGAACAGGCAACCAATTACCAGGCCGAAGTCGGTCAAGTCAGTAGTGAAACGGTGCGAACTTTGAGGCAGATATCAGCCCTTCTTTTTGCCTAGACAGTGTTCAATACCAATAAGTATTGTACACCACTTTTCTCTATGGATGTACTTGGTTAGTCAGAAAGAGGCAAGTAAATAGGGAGGAGGCGGCATGGATTCAGATTGGCGCGGTGTGAACCGGCACCTGGGTGTGCTACGTGTTATAGGTGCGCATTCCCGATAACGCCTCCCGGAGTCCGATCTAGACCCTGTGTTGGTTCTTCGCGTCTACTGCGTGGCCGTAGCCGTAAGTAACCGCACAAAGCCACACCACAGGCAAAATGCCAATGTAACAATCAGACGGACGCAAAATTAATTGTAAAAAAATACCTCAAAATTTAAACGATCAGTTCGCGATGATCGATCCACAGACAACTAAAACGAGCCCAATATATAACCGAAAATGAAACTGTCGCTCTCGGCACAAGGTTTTCAGCGGGTTTTGGCTCAGTTCACAACTTCGCATTGAAAAGCACGTCATTTCTACATGATTACTTGTACATCTGAGTAATTTTATGTCAGAAAATGCAGTCAAAGAGTCTGCGTGCCATCTTTTGTTTTAAGCAAACGTTTCATCCGAAACCACAAAAAGGCCCCTAAACAAGCGGTCATTCAAACCTTTTTTGCATGCTGTGAGGCATTTTTTCGGCGGTCCAGTTTTTGCATAAGTCGGAAAGGGAACGGTGGCAGCAAAAACCCCCTGAGAACTATTTTAGTAGTCGTATGGCCACTCTTCAGAGCATTTGGCATCGCAGAATGCAGTCAAAAGTAAGCAGAGATAACGAAAATGGAGAGGACATAAAGAGAAAAGGTAGTGTTTTTCATCTGCGGCTGAAATTGCATCCATACCATCCAGGGAAGTGCGTTAGGGGGACAAATGTTGCAGTTTTTTCATCGCTTTTTCTCTGGAGAGAAAGAGAGATAAAGTACGTGGGCCTTTATCAGTGAAGTAGGAAAATAGTGGTTTTTTAAAGAACTCGCTCGTCAGTGTCGTGCAAATTAACTCAGCGCGCGTTCATTGGAAAATACAGTGCGTGACTGATCTCATGAAATGCTGGCCAAAATTCTGGAATGCGTTTCCGATTAGGAAGGATTACTTAGGTGAGGTTGTTATATTGATTGTCATGCAGCAAAACCCTATAATATTTTGGACTCGTCAGGATATCGGCTTTTGAATGCGTTTCTTTTCGACCTTCTGCAGAAACCACACTCGGTAAAAAATGACAACTTATGTGGCATGTATTTTCCATATTGATTTCCGATGGTCTTATAAATTCAGATATATTTTATAAAAAATGCACAATTATATGCTTAATTTTACGCGTTTGGAAGAAAACACGTTATTTTCACTTTTTAAACTCAAAGATATGATATCTATCGGTTTTAAAAAGTTTCTAATTATAAGACATTTAAGACCGTGCGATGTCCATACATACAGCATCGCACATGCAGGTTTACTAGTGCTCCTTATGAAACGTACGACATAGTCAGAAACCATTGCAAACTTTTTATGAACTCCACATGGTATCTTCTTAAAGGCATATAGGAATATATTATTTCCCCTACGCGGATAGCATGTATCCTGTAGACTGTAATCGCTAAACGCTAATGCAACGGTTGATCTGGCTCAAAATAATTAGCGCAGGGGAAAACTTTTTCAAAACCTGAATATACGCTTTCTTAAAATTAAAACGTGGAGATACTGTGATTGTCTACCAAACGAATAAAAGAAAGCATATTGTGGGCATGTTTTCTATAAAAAATGTTGGAATTGATAGGACCATCGAAAATCAATGTGACAGATGCATGCTATTTTAAAAATTTGAAGCATTTTGTCCCCGGTACGAAGCTGAAGTAGGCAAGAACGGCAGGATTTATTGGATGTTCTTATGTTTAGAAATGAAGATGGTTCTATAAGACGTTCTGTCTTCCATAAGAATACTTGGAAGGGACATTACTTGCATTTTTTGAGTTTTGTACCTATCCAATGGAAAGGTAACTTGGTATACGCTCTTTTCCAAAGGGCTAGAAACATTTGCTCCAATGACACACTGGATGCAGAATTTGCACGTCTCAAAGAAGCTCTACTTAAGCGTGGATATCCCGCACGGTTCATCCACAAATACAGCAACTCTACACGGCCAAAACTGACAGAGCATTCAGCTCCGAAAAAGCCCGTCTTTATATCTGTGCCCTTTAAGGGCGACAATATTTTAAATACTATCAAACGACGGCTACGTTCTGCCATTCAAAGGACATACAATGCAGCCGAACTAGTATTCTGCAGTCCTACTAAGCCACTTCCGATTCCACGGGCAAAGGATGCCCTGCCAATGCACGTCACTTCAAATTGTGTTTATGAATTCACATGCACTTGCGGATGCAAGTACATTGGGCGAACGCAAAGGCAGTTGGCAGCCAGGTCCATTGAGCACCTGCCCAAGTGGCTCCTAAGACAAGAAAATAAGATCCCGCGTTCATCCATTACGAAACACCTACTTGATACTGGTCACACCGTTGACCCCAAAACTTCCTTCCGAGTACTTGTTCGGGCACGAACAACTCGGACATTGCGTTACCTGGAGGCAGCCTATATACGACGAGTGAAACCAGATCTTTGTAAACAATTGGAGCACGTGGTTAACCTAACATTGCCATGGTAGCCCCTAGCTCCATGATTCCCCCTCTCTCCTCTCATTTTTTTGGCTCTTTAACGTTCCCCTTTTCCCCCTTTCTTCCCCTACGGTTTTTGTGTTACTAACTTTATTGATTAGCCAACTTTGCCCAAAACCCTAACCTTGCTGTTTCTGCATCGATTTTCTGCACGAATTCAAATCTGTTGTATTGTTCTCACTCGTTGTCTCTCTTATGAAGCGACAGGAAGCAGCTGAAGAGCAGTCGCGAAATTTTTTGGCACCAATAAATCCTGCCGTTCTTGCCTACTTCAAATGCATGCTAATTAAGTGGTCATTTTTTACCGAGTGTGGTCTCTGCAGAAGGTCGGAAAGAAGTGCATTAAAATGCCGACATCCTGGAAAGTCTGAAATACTGTAGGATTATGTCTCATAATAACAGTATTACCATCCCACCTAAGAAATCTTTCCTAAACGAAAATACATTTCAGAATTTCAGTCAACATTTCATGAGATCGGTCACGCACTGTATCTTCGTGGACGTTCAGATTCTTCGTGATATAGATTTGAAGTTGAGATGAAGACGTGTACATGGTCAAATATGTCATCGAAAATGACGTGCAAAATTCACTAGGTGCCTAGTAGCTTTCAAGGACTGCCTTCGTTCTAAAGATTGCAGAAGTTATCGGCAACGATCGGATGAAAGACCCCAAACACACACACACACGACTAGCCAAAGGTGCCCGTCTCACGGGAAAGGTGTTACATGCAAGACAATCAAAAAGATAAACGTTAAGTGTCTACAACGCTCGCTCCTCCACCCTTTGAGTTAAGGTCATTGTAAATAATCCGACAGAATTTCTACAACAATCGCTTCTCAAATCTCTGAACTGAGGTCACTGTAGATAATGCACCAGACCGTCTGCAACGGGCGACTCAACCTTGTACGACGAAACACCAAATCGAAATAATCGTTTCGGACTAAAAGCCACTTAAATAAGTATAGTAGGTATTCTTCGTATATCACAGATGCTTGGGGGCCTTCGTCTGATTCTTAGCTAGTTCTCATTGCGCTGTTGAGACGTTCCAACTCCCCTAACTTAATAAAAACGTTTGCGGTTATCCAACTGTCCACAGCCTGTCTCCAGGGACGCAGTATGCGACCCCACTCAGGAAACAAGAGCCAAGCCATCGTGACATATTGCATCACCGCCTTCTTGTAATTGACGCTTCCACGCTCCCAAAACTAGATGGGATACAATCTACTTCTTTTGTGAAAGCAAACCGGAATAACTGCGAAAGATACTCAAATTTTGCCTGTATCTTCAGTTTTCTTGATACCTTCATCATTCCTCGGGGATGGGCTTCCTGGCACCGGAGCTCTTTTGCAAGTGATAGATTTTGGCGGAAAAGGTACAGTAGGTGGACTAACTCATGAAATGTCAACCGAAATTCCGAAATGCGTTTTCGTCACGAAAAGATTAATAAGGTAGAATTATAAAACTAGTCAGTCTGCAGCATAATTCTATAATATTTCAATTACCTCAGAATGCCGGCTTTCGAATGAACATCCATACCGTTGCATGCAAAAACCACACTCTGTAAAAATGACTACGTAAATAGCATGCCTTTTTCCC